TCCAACAGTTGTTAAAAGAAATCAAAATAACTTCAACTTACAAAGTGTATCAGAAAAGAAAGACATAAATGGGAAAAAAATATTTATATTATTATTTAATAGTATATGTAGGGATTCTGGAAACATTGAGAAATTATGACATTACAGCTGAGATACGTTAATTTACTTATTTAATCCCAGCATTTAATCGGCATCTTCTCAATAAACAGCAGCTAAAAAAAATTAAATAGGGAATTTTTAAAGGGAGTTGTCTCAGTTTCTAAATTAAGCATCATGTATTTGTATGTGCAAATCTTTTTGAGGAATGTGAGCAATGTGGCGTTACAAAAACACCTAAAAGTCACATTTGAACAGAGACTGGGAGAAGCGGTCAACATAACACGAAAAACTGACACACATTTATAGAGCTTACTTTGGGAGAGAAACTTTTAGTATACAGTAAAATATTTGAGAGTAACCCCTGCACAAACTGTTGCATAGAAATTTACCAGATTCCATAAAATGAAATGTTTAATGGTCAGAGTCACACTAAAGACTAACTTGTGTAGAGCTGAAAATTTTTGTTCCTAGAAACTATGATTAAGAGAGAGAGAGCGAGAGAGAGAGAGAGAGGAGGGGAGCAGGAAGGAAGGAAAGAGGTGGGGATGACTAAATGTGGCTCAAACTAACTGAAACAAAAGGAGTTTGGCCTTTAACTTGTAACACTGCTTCATAAAGAAGTCGACTTTGACCTTTTCTGGCTCAGATTTGATCTTTGGCAGCCCTGGCCAGAAATCTACCGATCATTGTCTTGTTATCGTGGATAATTAAGTGTATATATTTTGGGAGGAAAAGGGGAAACGGTAGAGAAATTCATAACACAAAACTGAATTAGAATTATTACGTTTTTTTTACAAAGATAATATAAACAAAACTCCATCATGCTAGAAAGCTAACCAGAGGCCTGAAAGCACAATTATAGCTAATTAGGCATTACAGACAAGAACCAACAAATCTGAATTTTCCAAATAACTTTCATGGTATTTATTATTTTGACTTGTATTTATTGAAACTACAAGATAAAAGTTGTACAGTAAAAAAATGGAAAAGCTGAAATTTGATTTCCAGTATTTAGCAGTTTGTCACACATGTAAGGATGTGTTAGGCTTCTATGCTAAAATTCTGCTATGGAAAAAACAAAAAAAACCCCAAATGCTGTGGTTGTTGGAAAACCACTTTGTCCATTACTGTGTCTCAGACACTGGGGTCCCCCTGGGGTCCTCACTAGGGAATGCTGTGTATTCCCTGAGGTTGGTGGACTTTGTTAGGCGAAATTAGAAGATGATGCACCAAAATCTTCTTGTGAATTCTTTGGTTGCTCGCAGATTGACACGGTTGTCTGTAGTTTGCATGGATGATGGAAACTCGCCCGTAAGCACTCAGCAGCTGATCGCTGGTAGTCGTAAAACTTCGAAAGAAGAAATGGAGCCCCCTCGCTGTCACGTTGCTCCTTTTGAGAAGTGTTGGTTGCATATATTTAATGCATATCCATTAAATAAACCATGGCTCTGTCTCGTTATACTGACCTATTAAACCATCAATCCATTTCTGATGCTCATCTTGGTCCATGTCATGGTGACCACAGTGTAACCAGAAATGCCGAGACCTCCCCCTCCCTAAATGAGGCCTCTAACTCCACTGCAGGGACACCAAGCCAGCCAAGAAGCATAATCCAGCACGTCCTGGGTTGGCCTGCCCCTGGTAGTATTGCATGGAGTATATTATCTAGCTGGTGTCCAGGAAATGTCCATGGCCTCAGGCTTTGAGGTATTAACCCTTACTCCTTAATTTGCACTCAGCTGCAAACTGCTGCAGGGCAAGCCAGAGTTCATCACTCAGTGAAGCAATCCTTGGGCCACCTTAAATACATCACCTAACAGGAACCTTTTCACGAAAGGCTGCCGACAAATACCTAAAAAGAATTGTGGACAAAGGGCAGTGCTGGTGAAGTCCAACACCTGTTGAGAATGAAACCTGTTGTTGTTAGTGCAAACAAAATTCTAGCCACTACATGGCTAGAAACGGAAATGTTTAATCAAGAAACTTTATGGATTATCTATATATTTTTATATATATATAGATTATATTTCTTAAGATAGAGTTTAGTCATACATATAAATTCTTATATGAATATAATCATCATTGATGTTGGCTCTATAAAAATAATTCCCCAGCTCTTTGATGCACTGGTTTTATGCTCTCTGAATATCCAGCAGGCCACTTGCCATTGAAGGGAGTAACAGTCGCTTGGCGTTTAGCTTGTAAACCTACTCAATAGAAGACTTGTTAGAGTTGAATATACAGCTGAGCCGAATATAGACCCACAGAAACAGCAAAGTTACTAATGGAGCTGCATCCAAAGACAAAGCTGTCACTAAAAAAGAGAGACAGAGCAAACTTTAAACTTCAGTCTCAGTGAGATTTAATCAAACACTCGTCTCTATTTTTAACATCTACCTCTGCTGTCAGTGCATCAAGGTGTGCTGCTATTGTAGTTGCAGGCCTATTTTTAGCCTCCATCCAGGCTGGGTTTGTAGTTGTGCCTTTGCAGTGACTCACAGGTCTGTTGGCCTGATTGAGGAAGTCCGCTACTGAGTCCCAACCTCAACACTATAGAGTGACAGACAGACAGGCAGGAAGAGAGACATACAGCTGGTGAGACAGGGAGCGCAAAGAGGGGAAAGGCTGTTTTACTCTGAGAGGTTTAAGGAGAGGATGGACTCGAGGCAGAGCAGAGACGACGGATAAATAAAACCACATTTCCTGGGAAAATTAAATTTTTTTTGTCTAAAAAGGAATAATTTTTTAAAAGATATTAAAAAGGACATTTAACCACTTTTTTTTCAACATTTTTCTTCGGTTTCCTATCAGGACTTGGATTCTTTGCTGAACACAAAAGAGACTAAAGAGAAGGATATTTTCTACCATCCACCTGAAACAGTGAATACAAACACACCCGTCCTACCTCAGCCTCAGGATTATGGTGGTGCATGGTCCGCGTGGGGATCTGAGACAGGATCAAAATGCTGAAATGTAAAGTTTGCAGTTATTTCTGCTGTCTGCGGTTCACCTCGTTGCTGCTGCTGCTGCTGCATCAGGTCAGTCTGACGTTCATGATCTGTGTAGAAAACGAGCACATACATAAGAAGCTTCAGATGTGATATCAACCTCGTGCGATCTGAGTTACTCTTTAGATTAACTTTGATCACTCTGCATGCTCCTGTAGTCGAGGCTCATCTCGGATACAATTCAAACTTTTTTTTACTTTTTCAAATATGTAATTTTTTTTTTTTTTAGAAATTTAGTAATTATTATATATTTCATGGACTTTTACAAAAATGCAATAAGAAAAGAAACAAAGTGCTTTGTGAACAAGTTTG